TGATCAAGAGCATGAACATCGATCTGCGATATTGGAGACCGATGACATGTGTCAACCAAGCCTGACCACCCGATCCCGTTAGTCGCCTCTTACGTCAAGCATCTTGCTAAAGATCAATAGTCAAACCCAGACCTTAACGGGTCTCCACCTCAAGTACTGATTGGATAATTTCACCATAAGAAAATGTCACCATCAGGACGCACCTTAATTGGAGGACACGGGGGCCAAGGGGGGCCAGTTTCATGACTGCCATTTTTGCACAGCAGTGTATGTGCAAGCTTGCGCCGAGTCAATCGGAACTCTGATTTCACCAAAATATATTTACACTTACAAGTCACTCTTATAACTTACAGGTCCAGAACCGCTGCATGAATGGACAAGATAAGCTATCAATGTTATGGTGGGCATATCGGCCAGTTCTGTGAAAGAATCATGCAGGGTAGGGCGTTAAATCACAATTGAAAAGTCCTTTCTACTTTAGACAATTCTAGAAATCATACGTATGTATTACAGACATAATCATGCGATGGAGATACTCTTGTTTTTTGAATAATTCGAAAGAGAAAATTGATTATTAATACACATAATTGCATCTACCTCTGACTACACTGAACTAAATTAATCTGGGAAGAATTCACTCATTAAAACCAACGGTTATTCGTGTACAGCATTTAATAAAATATGCATGACATACTTTCAGATTGTACTGAAGGATATGAAACAGGCCATCATACGAAGGGGAACAGTATATACTTAAATTACCCAAATATGTCGTCTAGCCCATCCAAAGTCAAGTGCAATATGCAATACCGTGGCAATACATATATTCAAATGCACGAAGACGGATCTACCAATTTCAATCGGTCGTGGCTAGAGTACAAAGATGGCTCTTGGGGATGTCACCAAGGATTTCTGGCTTGGAAACGACAAACTTGTTTACCTGAAAAATAGACGTCCTCAGATGCTTACCTTTATAATTAAGGATATGAGTTCTACACGACAGCGAGTATACAAACATTTCACCCTATCCCAAAACGGCCTCTACACAATAACATACGAAAGATCATGGGGTTCCACATTTCCTGAAAAACATGGAGGTGATTGTTTAACCGAATTAAAGGAACAGCCCTTCTCTACCTTCGATAGAGATAATGATGACAGTCTTCTGAACTGCGCTCAAGAACACCAGTCTGGATTCTGGTTCAAGAGCTGCACCCCCTGTAATCCCAATGGTGTTTGGTCTGAGACTCCGGACAAGAAGAGAGCTGGAGTACCTTGGGAGATGTTCTGGTCACCTGGAACAGAGGATAATCTGATGTTGTCATGCAATGCCTATTTGAAAGCCAGATAACTGTTTTAACTGCGGTAATCATCCGCAATATCTCTTGTACCAAATCTGCCTTTTTGACAAATACCAAGTAGGACATTTCATAAAATGCATTTAATATAAATGTACCCAAACGTTTTATTTTAGTTTCCGATATTATATTTTAAACAGAAATATACTGATGTAGCTAGTTGAGGAGATTTTTAAGCCAAATAAGTTGCACACATGTATGAGTGTCTCATTCATGAAGCCTTGTATACCGGATATTTTAGCACAGGTTTATGTCCTGTGAGTGCAGCCAAATGACAACTAGTTCATACTATTCACAATTCTTCACTTCTTCGTTGTGCTTGATTGGTTTGTTTTCTATGAAGTGTGTATAAATATCATGCTTCACAGTGCTACGTCAACTAAACAGTCAATCTTCTTTATTTACAGTACTAAGGAGGCCGTAGGCCTATAGTACATTTAACATACAGTAGCAGAGGGTGCAATAGAAATGAATATATAGTAAATAATATCACATCTGTAATGCAGAGGATCTCATATTCATGGCATGGTATATGTACATTGCAAGGTATTTTGTGGCTGTTTGATTTTGGGATGCCATGAGGGTAAAATAAACTCTGTCAAAAAAGAAACGCAACCCCTGTCCTCAGATATGAAAAATTCGTTTGAATGAAGTTATTGCTTCCAAACTAAATGTTATTCGAATGTATTGAAATTATACACGTAATTAATGAAGATTACCATCCAAACAACTGCATTTGTACGCATAAGTGTATTTTATTGCTTATTCCGTCACAACGCATGAAATGACCCTCATGGTGACTTCGCACAAAAAAACACATGCAAATCATGAAAATGGCAGTTAATGTAGGGGTGTATAAAAGCCCATGTGCTTTCGTATTATATTCATTCATTTGTCGCATGAAAGCTGTGTGAAAAATGCCACGATTGAGTGCTGCCGACCGAAATATCGCCATTGGTCGTGTTCAAGCCGGAGAAAGTTTTGGAACTGTTGCACGGCACCTAAATGTTCACAAAACAACGATATCCCGACTTTGGAGCCGCTACAACAACTTCAATTTGACCAACGATCGCCCGAGAAGTGGAAGGCCAAGAATCACGACCCCCCTTCAAGATCGGTACATCCGGGTCCATCACCTGCGTAATCGGCATGCCCTACCAACCGTGACTGCCACACAAATACCAGGTTTGAGGAGAGTGTCAGCTCAAACGATTAGGAACCGTCTGAAAGAAGCGGGTTTACGTGCCTGTAGACCAGTTGTTGGACCTGTACTACGCCCCTACATCTCCGCCGACGACTCAGGTGGTGCAACAACGTAAGGATATGGACTTTACAAAACTGGAGGCGCATCTGGTTTTCTGATGAATCCGTTTTCTTTTTGCAACATCACGACGGAAGAAAACGTGTGTATAGGAGACGTCATGAACGTTTTGCGCCCATCTGCGTCCGACAGGGGGACAGATTTGGCGGAGAAAGCGTTATGGTTTGGGGATCCATCTCATACAACCAGAAATCAGACTTGGTGATCGTTGAAGGGAACCTGACAGCCCAACGTTACATCAACCACGTATTACAGCCTCACCTTCTCCCGATTATTGACCAACAGACACAGATTTTTCAACCAGACAACGCCCGGCCTCATACTGCACGTGCAACAATGAACTTTCTGCAGAATTCCAACGTCAATGTCTTGCCATAGCCCTCTAAATCACCAGACCTCAACCCTATTGAACACCTGTGGGATACTCTGGGTCGACGCGTACGTCAACGTCAGCCGCCGCCACAGACGCTGCAACAACTCGGCGTTGCACTGCAGGAGGAGTGGAGAGCCATTCCCCAGGAAAGAATCCGGCGTCTTATCCGTTCTTGTCCAAGGAGATGCCGTGCAGTGATTGCAGCTCGTGGTGCTCATACGAGATACTGAGAAAGACGCCCCCCTGGTGACAAACTGGTGTCTGTGAGATGACTTTTGAAATGACAATTTTAAACATGCCCATCTTGGTTATTATTCTGCCAAATTTCAGACTTCTGTCTTAAATAATAAAAATGCTGTGTCGTCTTAAAACTTCAGATCAAAATCTCTAAAATACAGGGGTTGCGTTTCTTTTTTGACTTTAGAGTTTATATTTGCATTGATTGATAAAATTTCAATCCGTTTTCAAGTGCAATATAGAGGTTGTTTGACAACGGTACAAGCATCTATATCGAAACGTCGCACTCACGAATAAAAAGAAGTTGTTATCCATAAAATTTGTTCTATATTGTACTTCCCAACTTCTCAAATGCCACTCAAAGAAGTTAACGTTTTCAAGTGACCATTTAATTGTGATTTTCTTTAGACAGATTTGTAACTGTCTGTCTATTGTATGCATATTTGTACCATTACAATCATCCACAAAAAGTGATCCTACGACTGAATGAGTTAAAACCATTTGTTTTAATATCAAATGAGGTGAAATACACAATACTGATTTGTGGAACACCGTGATCCTGATTGTAAATGTTCAGACAGGGTTGACGCAACTCGGACTTGAAATTGTCTGCTACAACCTGTGATATAAGTTGAACTAAACTATATCTCAACCAAAATCCTTTATAATTCCGTGCTTTCAGGTAGCATCGTATGCTTTCTCCAGATCAAATGAAACTGATACTACATGTTGTTTAGGTACAATTCCACTTGTAACAAAGGATTCTAATCGTAATGATGAATTGTACTTCTATTTGTCCTGAAACCACATTAACTGTTTGTTACGAGGTTACTGGTTTCCAGAGAGCAAATTAATATATTATTTACCATGGTTTTACAGACACAGCCAGTTAAAGCTACTGGTGTGTAACTGGAGGGATATGTGTGCTCTTCGTCAGGCTTCGGTATAGGGACTACAACGATATTATGTCACGAAGGTGGAAAATTCCATATTTCATCAAATATTTCTGTACTGTGACCAGTTATTCAGTCTTGTATAAAGACACAGCCAGCTAACCAACTGTCAAGTTTTTTAATGATCCCTGATGCATAATGGAGCATTACAGATAACTGGTGATTGTTTGTTTGACATATTGATGGGGAAGGACTTGATAGTTATATGGTGAAAAGACAGAAATGGATAAAAAAGATCGAATAGTTCTACAATGTTTCTGATAATGTAAAAGGTCATTGAAATAAATCTGTACAACATGTTTAAGCTTATTCATATTTCTTACATTATACATTCTAATATGATACAAAGAATGCATTAATTCATGGAAATGACTCCTACATCAATAATTAATTAAAAAAAGAATTCAATCATTTTTTCAGTGAAGTAAAATTCTGTGACCTCTGCCAATGGAGCCAAAACATAACAAAAGATCAAACATTAAAAAGTACATTTAAAGCTCATTTCCTAACCAAAAGTTATGATGAAAGTGACAAAAAGCCTTACTGAGATAAAAGAAACAAAACTTACACTGCGGGGACTGTATAATTGTCTGACTTTAGTTAATTGGTTCCTAAATTGAGGTGCTGGTAGCAGACGACATCTTGTTCGTAAAGGCTCATAAATCTATCCCCACTGGAAAGAGCTCTAATGGGGGAGATAACTCTATAGCTGATAGACTGACTGAAGTGTCCATAAAGTCGTTGCTGGGTTTCCAGACATGATTCAGGTAAATATTCAAGGGCAGTATGTAGCTCATTGTTTCTGATATTTTAAAACAATCAGGAACTTAATTTTATGATGAAGAATGTTCATCATGAACGCTGGAGTTTCACCAAGTTTATTTACTGGCAATGTCAACTGTATCAGCTAAAAAAATATAATCTTCTTGGCGATGGTGAACAGTACATTTTGAACCTGTGTCTTTTTTCCGTTCGTATCATATTCCACACTGACATCCTTTGATATTGGTGTACGACAATTTATTTTGGATTGAGTTCCTCCACGACTGACGCTTATTCTGCTGAAATGTGCGTCGAGCCATGGCATTTGAAATTTTGACTTTATTCAAATTATCGACTGTAGGATGTGGGCGAAAATACGTTTCTGCTTTCTTCATACACTTTCTGTCCTGATGGCTTTCATTATCAAACCAGGAAAAGAACGTGTGGTACAAGTCAAAATAAGGAATTGCATCGGACATCATCTTTTCGCTGATGCCTCAAATTTTGAAATTTGCTCCACGTATCTGCCATAAAACGTTTTGAGGACTTTTCTGCGGCCTTGAATGTTGTAATGGTCGTCAAACAACATCTGAGCAAGAATCGTATGACGCTGTTTGAAATCTTGGTATAAAGAGCGATAACAATTTGTGATATGCTGAAAAGCGGAAAATCGTTATTGCATGACTTGTTTATGAATATGCTAGTTTGTAAGTGAATTAGTATATACCGCTTAGAATAACATTCCAGTAATATGATGTCAACCTAGAAGGAAAGCTTTGTAGGTTTTTACCACTTTTGTAAAACCAATGAACACTAGTAAGGTGCTGGGGCGTATCGGGATTTGAACTCCTATATCCTATGTTTCTGACATGCTAAAGGGACTCGGCTATTTACAGAGGCGTATCTGAGTATACTGCAATATATTTCGTTCGATGGAACCCTGATCTGAAAATTGTTTGTTCATACTAATAAATGACTCTTTTACATTACAGGTCCTGAACCGCTGCATGAATGGGGGCGAATATGACCAGGACAAGCTAAGCTGTCAATGCTATGGTGGTTATGTCGGCCAGTTCTGTGAAAGAATCATGCAGGGTAGGACGATAATCATAGCCGAGCTGTCCTTTCTGAAACTAATTTCAGAAACTACACCCAACTGTTACATGTAATTAAAGATGTAATTATATAGATGGTTTACTTTCAAATAGGGAAAGGGAAACCACATAAATGGGTCACTAAAATAAATACAAAATGTGACAGCTTGTTTCTAAAGCCCTCTATGAACAAAGCTATTGTACAACTGACTACACTGAACCAAATGTACCTGGAAAGAGTCTTTTGCCAATACTTCTGTTCTTATACAGCTAAAACATGCGTTCTAAATAATGGATAACATTCTTTCAGATTGTTCGGAAGGATATAGCATACATCATTATAACAAGGGGTCTGGGATATATTTAATTCAACCATATATGGCACCTGGCCCATTCAAAGTCAAGTGCAGGATGAAGTACGGTGGCAATACATATATTCAAATGCATATGGACGGATCTACCAATTTCAATCGGTCGTGGCAAGAATACAAGGATGGCTTTGGGGACCTTACCAAGGATTTCTGGCTTGGAAACGACAAAATAGCTTATATTACACATGGGCGCAGTCAGTCACTCACATTTAAAACTACACATAATAGTTCCACTGTTATAAGACAGAGAATATACAAATCTTTCACCCTATCCCAAGATGGCCTCTACACAATGACATACGAAAGATCATGGGGATCCACATTTCCTGAAAAACATGGAGGTGATTGTTTAGCCGAATTAAAGGGTCAGCCTTTCTCTACCTTCGATCGTGACAACGATGACAGCCCCCTGAACTGTGCTCAAGAACACCAGTCTGGATTCTGGTTCAAGAACTGCACCCCCTGTAATCCCAATGGTGTTTGGTCAGAGACTCCGGACAAGATGAGAGCTGGAGTACCTTGGGAGATGTTCTGGACACCTGTAACAGGAGACTACCTGATACTGTCTTGCTTTGCCTTTTGAGTGTCGAATAATTTTTATATATTACTGTAAACGCCTCATCCATGTTGTTCCTTGTTCCCGTTGTCCATAATCATTTGTGAGAGGTTGAACTCCGAGGCAGAAAAATATATTCTGGCCCAGTGCTTAGAGCAAAGTTTGCACCTTGAGTTCCGTTTTGTGATGAATTATGTTTTTATTCCCACATTTTGATAAAACATTTCTTTAGACGTCCAAAATGAATGTTTGTTAAAAGTAATGGCATTTGACCGATTTAGTTGAAGAGGTGCAATCGTAAGGAGGGACATCATATGTTACACACAGAGAAAATCCTTTTGGCACATACAGACTTTCACGACACCGCTTGTCTCCAAATCTTGACAGGGACGTGTTCCAGCTAAGTAATAGTAGCCGGCACACTGCACATGCCTGCAGGATGAGAACATTATAGTTCTCGAATGACCTTCCAAACGGATAGAATTTAACCCAATAGAACATTTGGGAGATAAGCAGTGACAACAGTCAACTGCCACCCAAAACGCTTGAGCACTGTAACATATATTACAGGACGAGCTAGCTCGGATTCCACAAGATGTCGAGAAGGTTTGGAATCACACGGTTATGACAACAGATACTCAGAAGCACGCCCACATGTATACATGATATCTTAAAAAGGCTATCCTTCTTTGAACACAACAGATTAAATGTTTTAACATTCAGCTTTACATTCCTCCCAAATATTGTTCCAAGTAAAGCCGTTTTGATACTTGCTGCGATGACATTCTTTTACATGCTCTCAAATTTGTTTCATCTGAGTTGGTGATAGTCTAGTTATAGTCCTTTGCCAACAGGATTATACAGTATATTATTTTTGTCAACAATGTTTAACCTCATGTCATCACGATAAGGCTGAAATTTTGTCGTGTGCCGTAAAATGTGAACTCACTCACCACTCTTTTGGGAGGGTATAGATCGAACTAAAACCTGGTTTGATAGTAATTGCAATCAAGCTGCATATATATAATCTTTTGATATAAGTTCATCAGGGCGGTAGGGTAGCCTGGTGGTTAAAGCGTTCACTCGTCACGCCGAAGGCCCGGGTTCGATTCCCCACATAGGTACAATGCGAGAAGCCCATTTCTGGTGTCCCCTGCCGTGATGTTGATGGAATATTGCTAAAAGCGGCGTAAAACTATATTCACTATAACCTATACTAAAACGTCGTATGCAGGCTGCTAAACGATCTTCACGCAACAGCTGGTCCTTGGTCTGCGAAATTAATTAGGCACGAATGTGTCCCTGTATATGAATTTATACATCTTGGAGAAGTTTCTCTTCTGGTACACTCTGTAACATGGTGGGTTAGAGAACACTGCAGTATTCCGATGTGAGTAAGTGAGTGAGGGAGTAAGTGAGTCTTTAACGTCGTTTCAGCCATATAACGACAAAACCATGTATACTCATATACATAAGTCCTTTATAAATACAAAGTCAATATTCATAGAGAATATACAGATTTTATCATTATATTATTTTCTACAATTTATAATTAGTAGTGTCGATAATGGTTTTAAGAGCTGTTTTAGCTGTGGCATCGGCCTTGTGTCACCAATAATAATAATATGATTTAGTAACCAGAGGAAGATGATGTCGCATTGGTCACTAGAAAGATCGTTGTAAAGTTCTAAAATGTCAAGGATTATTAGATGATTCGAGGAGACGCTTTTGAGTGTGAGTGTCTGAAGGCAAGTCAAAGATCTTGAAAAGATTATGGAATTTCTGCAATGGCTTTGTTGTTCAATATTGGTCAAAGCTGTTCAATGTTGGCCTAAGCACTGAAGACTATTGTTTGGGATTCTTCACGAGATATGTTTTGATCCAATGTCAGTGGCACTGGCAACTTTGCCATCGTCCTTGGATGCATCTGTCAGAAAGGATCTTTGACTATTAGATTTGGTAAGTAATTTGTAATAGTCATGTTTGACAACAAAGGATTTGGGTTTTTTAGCTTCTTTAGGGTAAGGTATACCTTATAGAACAAACTTTATGGATAACAACTTCTTTTTATTGGTGAGTGCGACGTTTCGATACAGATTCTTGTACCGTTGTCAAGCATAATGGGACATGAAGAGGGGGGGGGAAGTGTATATATACTGGATGTCTGACAAAGAAAACAACATAATTAACATAATTGGCTAGGCAGAAGGCTGATGAAGCCAGAGAGTAGACAAAGGACAGGCGTAGAAGCCAAGGATGTACAAATGATACTCTCTGGCTTCATCAGCTTTCTGTCTAGCCAATTATGTTAATTATGTTGTTTTCTTTGTCACACATCCAGTATATATACACTTTCCCCCCTCTTCATGTCCCATTATGCTTGACAACGGTACAAGAATCTGTATCGAAACGTCGCACTCACCAATAAAAAGAAGTTGTTATCCATAAAGTTTGTTCTATATTGTACTTCCCAACTTCTAAAATGCCACTCAAAGAAGTTAAGGTATACCTCCTTTACTATTCAAGGGAGACGACAGACGTCAGTGAGGTGATATGATATTAAGATCTATGAATGTTTAGAAGCGTTGTTTGTGTTCTGATTTCATGTGGTTGAACCAGACTTGGCAGATTTCGAAACAGGTTTTCATAGAGAAGGTTGAAACCACAAGTATGCTGGGAGAGATTGTTTAGAACGCAGTTGAAGTAATGCTGTGGTGTTCAAAGGGAAAATTTAACAGCCGTCATATACAGAATATATTCAGGAGAGGTTCAAAAGCTGCAAGACAGAGTTTTAGGTCTTTGTATTGGATTTTGTTTTTCCCAACGGCTTTTGCAGGCTCCACCAAAGACAACGGAACAAAATGTAGTTGAGATGGGATTGATGACCTGTGCACGAGTTCTGGCAGTTCCTCTACAGACATTTTATGTGTTGTAAGAATGAATTCCAATCTAAAATAGTTAAGGATCTTTGTCAGTTGCGTAAGGAAGATGAAAACAATTTTAATTTTGTTTAAGACACAGTTGCAGATGTCTTTCTATTGTATATTCCTACCAAGACATGAAATATTGAAACTATCGACAAACGTGTTAAAAACTTTAGTGAAACTATGCATTTGGATGCGGAAAAGTTTGACAGTTAGAACAACAGTGACGCCCTGATAGAGATTGAAATAATCAGACAAAGCGGAGTCCACTTGTACTTGTCTGTCAAAATCCAAATTCGTGCAATCTTTTTGAATTTTGAAACGCCATGTTTTCACGTTTCATATGCTTTCTTACATCGAAAAAGATTGATACGGTATGTTGTTTGCTGACATTGGAAGTTTTGATAAAAAAATATAAATGATTCTAGACGCAGCACATGGCCAAAAGTACTTCCGTTTTGACACGTATAGACTATGAATATATATTCCCATGGCTTGCTCGTGTACCTATGTGGGCATGATAACAATTCTTTTGAGAAAAATATACGCCATATTCCAGCTATATGGCGGCGGTCTGTAAATAATCGAGTCTGGACCAGACAATCCAGTGATCAACCGATGACATGTGACAACCAAGCCAGCGAGCCTGGCCACCCGATCCCGTTAGTCGCCGCTTACGACAAGCATGGGTTACTGAAGGTACATTCTAACCCGGACCTTCACAGGTTTTGATGTATGAGCCTTACTTAGAGTGAGGGCCAAACTGTATGGACGTTTGATTTCACTTAAAGGAAAAACCCGTGAAGATCCGGGTTAGAATTGATCCTTAGTAACCCATGCTTGTCGTAAGAGGCGACTAACGGGATCGGGTGGTCAGGCTCGCTGACTTGGTTGACACATGTCATCGTATCCCAATTGCGTAGATCGATGTTCATGCTGTTGATCACTGGATTGTCTGGTCCAGAATCGATTGTTTACAGACCGCCGCCATATAGCTGGAATATTGCTTAGTGCGGCGTAAAAGTAAACTCACTCACTGAAAGGAACAGATGCTTTAAATGTTTAACTGAAATGCTATGCTATAATCGCAACGTCCCAAAGTCTCAACACGTATTCATTTTTCGTATAAAGACGAGTTTGCCTTTGTAAAGTCCCATCGTGATGATGGAGGAACATCAGATGGAGTAACAGTTTGTAGAATGATAGAAAATTACCGATTCCACAGAGGTCACCATGAACTGACCATTCAAATTCATTTGAGTATAGATTTGGGTCTGTAATGGAAAAATCAAGAGTATGTGCCCGTACCAGGATGTAAAGATGTTTAAGGATGTTCATTCAAAATACATAAATCATTGGTGGACAGAAAGTCTTACAGAATCTTTCCCCTACTGCTGGAATGAGTACTACCCCAAAGAGGATTTTGTGCCTTCAGATCGCCCATTATATACTTAGTTCCAAAAGAAACGTGATATGTCCATTTGAAATAAGAACTGTTATCCCACATACGTGCTTCCAGCGACTATATGCTTTACACAGAAAGTACCAAAGAAGAGTCTGAAGAGTCTGAATTAGACACGTTGAGAAGCTTAAGCTGATATTCGATGTTATTAGTACCTGGTCAATCCTTGGACCCATCTGTAAATACGGATTTATATGTATTATGTTTACTTTTTATTTGATTATATTCTTGTTTATATTGTCAGTAATTAGTTTCTGATTTTTATTCAATGTGGTGAGTGTTAGGTCAACTTGTGGCCTAACCAATTGCCAAGGAGGAGGAGAAAGAAGACGGGAAGGAGCTATATTTTCCAGCTCAATTCCGGCAGCAGTAATGAATAGCTTAATTCTGAGCCCAAGAGGCGGAACAAAAGAAGATTTCTTGTACAAACCCTCATAAGAAAGATTAAAGACACAGTGAAATGCAGGATTAGACTCGTTAGAATAAAGTATTTTGAGGTTGCTTTTGCAGGCTCCACCATATACGATGGAGCCGTAATCAAGTTTCGAACGGACAGGTGATCGATATAGATGTAGTAGGGTAGCTTGATCCCCTCCCTACTTAGAATTGGAGACGATTTCAACAAGTCAAGCGCCTTCAGG